TAAAACTTTGAGGCCACCATTGCTTTTGAAATGTAACTCCAATTGTTATAATATAAAGAATTATATTTTATGAAGATATTAGACAAATATATAACTATTCATTTATTTCGCTCTAAACTTCATAATTTGGCATTAATTAGAGTCGTGAGAATTAAAGGAACAATTATCAATTAAAGAAATAGCCGAATAACATTCAACCCTCATATTCGCTGTCTCTCTGATCATAAACTAGATATACTTAGATTCATATTTTTAACAAATTTTAATCCTCACTCAATTTAATTGATAAAATAAAATAAATGGCATATCAGTTCTTAAGCCATAGCTCAAATGAAGAAAAAACATTAATGATATAATTGAATATAATTTTGAATAATGCTTATATAATTGAAAAACATATAAAAACGAAAAAGCAATTTTATATTTAAAACTAATAACGTTTGATAAAAATTAGGATCTGTATTTTTTTTATTTGTTGGATGAACAAGACGTAATACAATTTAACGTAATATAATATAATGTAATACACATTACATCAATAATAATTGCTGATATATAAGACACAAAATACACTAAAAAATATAAAAAATAAAAATAAAAAATAGTAGTACTTTTATGAAGGATCAATGAAAATTCAAATAAATTAATAAAATTTATAAAGTAAATAAATATATTTTTTTCAATAAATTGGTGATTTATATATGATTTATACATTCTCAGACTTATATATATATATATCACAAAGGATGAAAAAAACATCATTGGTAGAGACCAATTACGGGTAATAAGTGAGGACCGTTGCGGATTTCAAGATATGCAAGAAAGGCATTCTGTTTCCACCTAGGTAAAATTTTAGCCGAAATTCTTTACGTTCTTCACGACACTAAACTTACCCTTACTATATATGAGGAGTCCTTAAAAATAACTCAGCGCTATGAAAATAATACATAAATATAATTTTTTTAATGTGTAAATTATAAAAGACCTTTTAACCTTTTCTACGATTAATCATCACTCCATCTATACCTCTGCTAATTGAAAAATCAAAAATGCTGACTGCCTAGAAACTACGGTATTTATAGATTATGATAATTTGGAAATGGTAATTAAAATTTCATAATTATCATAAAAAATAAGTAGTTTTTGTTGGTTTAATATTTTTTATACAAAAATGTCATGGTGTCACGCTGGATATGTTAGTACGGCCTATTAAACTACGAAGGTCGTGTCGGACCGGTTTTAGAAATAATATGAGTTATTAAGTCGGAATCTCGGGATGAAAGATGGATCTATGATAGATTAATTACTAACTAAAAAAGAATAATAATAATATTAGGTACTTATGTAATTTATTATTTTATCCCGTTTATTTTTGATAAAATAAACAATATTTAAAAATATTTATTACCTTGATAGGTTAAAAATGAATACTTTTGTATTTATTAATTCTGCATTAGCTTGTTGACGTGAGATGTGTTATCTCTTTAAAATCAGTCTTCATCAACATGATTTGGTCTTCATGAAGCCCTTATTGACCGGTTAATTATTAAGTCCTATCTGAGAAATCCCAATGATAAATTATAAATAATGATCATTAAAATTTTTTCTGAATAATGTATTTCTCATCCCAATCATTTAAACTATTGTGTTAAACAACATAATATATTGTTTAAAAACAGTTAAATTTAAATAATTGACTGTCGAGTTTAAAAGAGTTAATATTTAATCATTTGCAGAATCATAATTTCCTTTTAAGTTGTTTTTTTTTTAAAGCAGTTACAGGAACAATTATGCTTACAGGAATCATTGTTTAAGAATTTTTCTTGATGCCTGCTTACCTTTGATAAGCTAAATATGTGTTATGATTTATAAACAGTACACGTTGTGGTTATCGAGAATTAAGCACGTCAAATTCCTCAAACGGACACGGTACTTAATCTTGGACTCACATTCAACAGAAGGATGAGTTGGGGCGCGCAAGTAAAAATGAAACGTAAGAAACTTAATAAACAATTCAAAATACTCCACCCACTTTTTTCTAAATCTTCAAAACTGAGACAGAAACTGAATACTTATATATCCTTACTTAAACCCATATGGACATACTCATCACAAATATTCCTTATCGCAAAAAAAGACCCTCCTACAAAGATATCAAACCTTCCAATCAAAATTATTGCGACTCATAACAAAAGCACCATGGTACTTGACTAACAAAACTCTACCTGACTTCCACCTTCCAACTGTTGACCAACATATAACGACTCTTTACCAACGATTTTATACTAATTTAAACGGACTTCACAGCAGATTAATAAGAGACATGGGCACAGCTGACATGCCTCAGAACATGAGGAGGAGACTAAAAAGACGTTGGATGAGAGATCTCCTTCCTTAAACAACCTATGTAATTGAAACAAGGCAGGAAAGAGGTGCTGCTGAATACTTTCCTTCCCTATGCGTGACATGACATCTTGCATTTCCAGAACATTTACTGATTGTTAAAAAAAGGTTGACAGGCCCAAATTTTTTTTTAATAGCCCGAAAAACACTGTTGATCCCTCCCAAAAAAAAATATGGATCAATGAAAAAAAACGGTTTAGAGAGAAGTTTTCTAGTGACTCCTTTGTATAGTAAAAATTATAAATATCGCCAATTTAATTAATAATTAAAAACAATATAATTATATTAATACATTTTTAAATCTGCAGGCAATGTCAATCATGATTTTTTTTTTGGATTGCACTAATCACTATTTATTAAACAGTACGAATCCACTGTTATCTAAATATTAAAAAATTACTTCTACTCAATAAAATGTATGTAAAGAAAGTTGAGAATATTCACGCTTTGATTACTAATATTTTCATTAAATAACCTTTCCTTAATTAAAATAATAAACAGTTAAGTAAAGCCAAAGATAATGGAAAAAGCAACTAAATAGTTAAAATTTTATAGAGACTATTTTTAATTTAATGACCTGAAGTTAAAGATCCTTAAATAAATTAGAAACCATTACCTAACACTTGCGGTCAAGAGATCCTCTTATTACCTATCATCCAAAAATTTATGTTGTACTTAACAAGATAAAATAACTTATTATTGTTGCTGAATTGTATAGCATTTCGCAAAAACTGATTCACACCGCACTTCATGATTTGCTTCATATCAAGTCGAAGTAAACTCAAGCCTTGGAAAATTTGGAAGCTTTCAAACAAGTATAATTTATTTTTTACCACAAATCTAATTTTACAGTGTAAATTCTAAACCAAACCACAATGAAGCTCATTTATGATCAGTGTAATTATATAAGAGGTGAATATCTTTTTTATTTATGTTAATCTTAGGGTGGATAAAATATAAACTACAATTAGGTTCTTGATTAAAAATGAAATATACTTAATTTCCAGATCCTTCGAGGCTTTAGATTACTTCGACAGTAGTTTAATAAAAATATTTGCAATGTGGATTGTTTTTTCTGGTTCCTGTCTTTTCTATTTCTATTCTTATTTTATTTTATAACTATTTTGTTATATGAATACGTTTGCAATTAGCTAAAAATATAATTAAAAACATATATTATTTATTACAACAGGATAGATTTCCATACATTGCATATTTTGTTTGATGTTGTATTTAACCATGTATTAATTTACGTATTCGTGACTTTTTGGACAATTTTAAGTATTTGTAAAGGAACTTTTTTTAATTAAAAAACAATTAAGAATAAATACTTAGGGTACAAGATCAAAATAGAAAATATCCAATTATTTCGAAGCCATACAGACATGCTCCGCAATACCTTCTGTTTTTGATGAACGATCTGATTCGAATTCCCCTTATGCGATAGACTGCTGATTTTAACTAAATATTATTAAAAAAATTTAAAAAACATTTTTTAGAAAAAAACTTTAATAATTGTTTTAACAAATAATTTGAAGTTTTTTCCCCTGTATCATTTTGTTTTCCTTAAAGATAAAAATAATTTGCGGTTAATGTTTTATCCTTATAAAGGGGTTTCAATATATTTATAGTTTTAAACAAATGTAAGTGTTACGAAAAGCTCTAAGAAATAAATTAATAAATATTTAAAAATTAATTAAACTAAAATACATTAATAAATTAAATTTGAATATTTAATTAAATTCATAAATAATGTTTTTATACGTTATACATATTATTTTGATTTGAAAATAGGCAAATAAGACTGGAACGTATGTCATAAGTTGTTAAAATATTTTTATGAACAATAAAAAAAGTGTTTATTTATTTTTAACATATAAACAATAAAAAAAGTATGATATACACTTTTCAAAAAAAATAAATATTCATTTGAGAATCTCTGTCATATATAATTATTTTTTATATGGTTCTATTATTGGTCCGATTAGTTTATAAAAACAATGAATTTTTATTGAATACTTAATAGTTGACCGTTGCATTATGATGGAAGGATATGGTCCGGGGTTGCGGCCATAAATAGGCTAAATAGAGGTAGAACTATTTTATTGAAAGCCTAAGGGCTACTTTATTGACTATTTTATTGAACTATTTAGCCTATTTATGACAGCAACCACGGACCATCTCCTTCCTTTATAATGAATTTTTATGTTTCCCATTATTTTTTTCGTGTCTATTGGTATCAAATAGAAAAAAATATTGTGATTCAGAATTATACCAATATCTTACATGTAAAAATTTTGTTTTCTTCTTCGTTGAGGTAACTCATCATTTGTAATATAACTTTGGAAAATTATTTACCCTAATGGTTTTTAAAATTTAACATGAAATAAACAAATAATTGAACGTTTAATTTAAAAAATAATTTCTTGCATATTTTAGTTGTTTTTATATGTGAAATTATTGTCTGATCACTCTAAAATAATTAAAAGATTACATTAAAATGTTAAATATTTTGCTAATATAATTGCTAGTATAACAAAACAAAAATCTTGCAAATAATATTTGTATAACACTCTTATCATGAATCTTTATTATACCTTGAATTAAATCACGTACTAGAGATGAGTGGAGAAACTTATTGCAAAACCTCCTTACCTCAGGCCTGGCGCACTGTTTGAGCCGGACTGGTCGAACCCACCTCAAGTTCCACCACTAGGTTGCCTTGTAGGAGGGGTTACCCAATCAAGGATATCTACTCCCAAGTTAATTTTATATCGAGCTTTAGAGTGTTAAAAATAAACTCTACAAGTCGACAACTATAATAATAAAAATAATATTTATTTTTTTTATTCATTGATATTTACAACTGTATAAAAAAATACAATTAGTAAATGTGCACACAGTAATAATACAATCATATGAAAACGCTCGTTGAGAAACTACCCAATGGTAGTACTCTAATAATATATTTACATAAGTAGATCACGAGGGCATCTTCTTTTAAGACGCCTCGGGGGGTTATTAGGAATCGAAGAGGAAGCAAGATTAGAAACGAGAAGATTCGGATGGTAATGAAGTATATTATGGAAGGATAGGTATTTGGATTGGGCCAAATCGGAGACATATGGAACATTAAAGTTATTGTGGATTATTTTATTTGTGACAAAGTAAGGAGCATTAAGGCTTTTACAAAGGATTTTTGGTTGTAAGGATTGGATACGAAAGGAATTCGATAGTTTAGTTGAGCCCCAAAGCTTAATTCCGTAAGTCCAAATAGGTCTTATTATCGTAATATATATGAGTCGTTTGTAATTGATTGAAAGCTTAGAGCGTTTGTCTAGTAAGTGTTGTAGCAGTCGGAAACGTCGAGCGGTTTCTTGTCGCTTCAGTCTTGTATGAGGATTCCATATGAGTCGTTTGTCCAGGTGAAGTCCTAGGTATCGGATTCGTTCAACTGGGATAAGTGGGGTATTATTAAAGGATAATGTAGGACAGGAAGTCATGGGTTTACGATACAGAGTAAAAGTAATTTGATGGGATTTATTGGAATTTATTTTAATTCTCCAGTATTTACACCATTTTTCAAGGTTTGTGATATGTGATTGGAGGGTTTGGGATGCAGTTGATGGATCATTATTAACAGATAGGATACATGTGTCATCAGCATATGTGGTAATGACAGTGTCAGGATGGATTGGGATGTCAGCTGTATAAACTGTGTAAATGATAAGACCAAGGATACTATCTTGAGGAACAAAGGCAGACTAGGAAAAAAGGGATGAATAAGAGTTTTTGTGATTTACATTAAAGCATCTATCACTAAGGTAGGAGCGGATAATGAGAAAGTATGTAGGTGGTAGGAATTGACGGATTTTGTACGTCAGTCCCGGGTGCCAGACCCTGTCAAACGCCTATTCAACATCGAGAAAGACTCCCATGCAGTACAATCCGCGCTCCAATGCAGAGGAGACTACGTCCACCACACGATGACATTGCTGGATAGTGGAATGAGATGTGCAGCATCCAAATTGGTGATTTGGGATTATATGATTAGAATCTAGGATGGGATACAGGCGTTTTAAGATAACTTTTTCCAGGATTTTTCCCATGGTGGGTAAAAGAGAGATAGGACGGTAAGAGGATGAGTATTCTAGAGGTTTTTTTGGGTTTATGTATCATTTTAATAATTGATAGTTTCAGGAAAACATGTCGATCGGAGTACGGCAAAAAAAAAAAAATAAAAATAAATAAATCATAAAATATAAGACATATCCCTTGCTCAACATTAAGTCAATTACCTAAGGTGGCGTTCTACAATATGTTAAGAATAATTACCTAATTTCGATTACCTCTGCATTGCCATTTTTGGCAAACGAAGTGACTTAGCCTATTCTAGAGACACAGCCTAACCTATTCTAACCAGAGTGGGTTAGATGGTCGAGATCCCCAGATCGGATACGATCGCACGACGTAAATTTGATCTGATCACAATACTTTCCTTACCTATTAGCGATAGGAAAGTAAAAACACGAACAAAAAAAAAATTGAGTGGGCATTGACTTCTTGAATTTTTTGTTCGATGGTTCATCATTGAAAATCATTAACCAAAAATATTTAAAAATCGCGATCTCTTCACTAATAGTGCTTTGATTTCCATGAAACTTTCTTCATTTTTTTAGGAAATTTAAATACCTTTGAAACATCTTATCACAATTTTCACAAAAAAGTGTATACTTTTTAAATTATTCGGAACCTAATTTTACGATCCCTCGTAACTTTTTTCCAACTTCTTTTCTTTGAAGTATGTTGCATAAATAAATTTAAAGGGCATCGAGAAGAAGACTTTAGCGAAGTTTCGGTACATTCGTTTAGGCGCTACAGTCTTTAGCAACGGAGGTTTTTCGGTCGCCATCTTGAAAGGAAAAGGCGGATAGAATTGTTGATGAAGGAGGATCTTCCTCGGGTGATCTCTAATTTTAAATTAAAATTTGAATAAAATCGGTCGAGCAGAGACGGCGGACTGACAAAAAAATTTTATTCGTTTTTCGAATTCTATAAAAAACTTTATAGATAAATTCTTCATTAAACACTTTTTTATTAAACAAGATTAGTCACAGAGTTTAATATATATATACATTCTAATGATAGAAGTCTATAATAAAATAAAAATAACATTTCTTGTAATATCAAGTTATATTCAATTCGATTCACAAAATTGATGATCCAAAAATGATTCCATCGAAAAGTACACCCGGATACAAATGGAGCGAACTACATCGGGTCTAATTTATTCGGAAATTGCAGTATACTCAATTCCCGAATAAATTAGTATAATCAACAGTATAGTCAATCAATTGCTCAACTATGTTTTGTCTAACTATGTTTTTGAGGGTATTGAATTTGAATCCATGCCACTCTATTCGAACTATCTCTTCGAACAGGTCCGATGAAGGCCTGAACTTCAGGTAGAAACGTCGGCAAATGTTAAAATAAATATTATTATTAATTTTTGCATTTTTATTTCTGACTGATCACCCCAACCATCCTTCTCTTCATTGAATCCATACCAGTTGGTCGAAAAGATGCATTCATAATTTAAATAATGAAATTTTTTTTTTTTTTTTTTGAGTATTATAACAATCTGTCTGTTGGCCATTGGTTATAGTGAGGTAGGATGACATTCACACTATATGTACAAAAAAATAAAATAAATAGAACAAAATAATAATCAAAAGTATATACAATAGACAATAAAATAAAATAACCTAAAAAATAAGAAAATTAAAACTAAGAAAAAAAAAACACATTCATACCTATATACAACCAGGCGAGGGAACTCCAGGAGAACCCTGCGCTACTCTCCCAACCGCGTCACTGGTACTAAAGCCAGCGGAGATTGGTCGAGAGCACTTTAGCCACATACACTCATGTCTTGAGCGAAGAATCTGGCCATTGCCAGAACTCCAATTTATACAATCTACAAAATATCGCGAGGCCATTGCCGTTTCAACCTTCTTGGAGGATTATAGGGATGGGAGGTGCTTGATAGGGATTGTGCAAGAGGATTTGGATGGTAAGTAAGGTTCTGGTGAAATTTGGAGAATTTTTCTGGGATAAGGTCTAGGACAAATGGGATGTTGAGGTCATGATGTAGGGTTTTGTTGGTTACATAGAAAGGATCATCGACTATTGTTCGAAGGACTTTAGACTGGAAGGATTGATGCGCTTGATGTTAGAAAATTTTGCTGATCCCCACAGTTCTAGTCCGTAAGTCCAAATAGGTTTCAGTATTGTCTTGTAGATCAGTAGCTTGTTTTCAATGGAAAGTTTAGATTTTCGGCTTAGTAGTCGGTATAGTTGGCCGTATCGTCGGTTGAGTTCCTGTCTTTTAAGTCTAGTATGAGGGTTCCACGTTAGTCGTCTGTCTAAGAGAAAGCCAAGGTACCGGACTATAGGATGTTGAGCTATTGAGAGGTTTGCCTGGTTTTGGGAAAAGGATAATAGTGGAGTGTTTCCATAACAGAGGGAAGTGGGTGGTGCGTAGGATACAATTGTAGATATATGTAAGGAATATGACTGCTTTGAATGGAAGTTGTCGAAGGATTTGAGATGTAAGGAGATCATGTCCAGGAGCTTTACGGGGGATTAGTTTTTTTTAATTGAAATTTTACTTCGGAAGGATGAATAGCTTTTGGGGGCAAGGAAAGTGGGATTGGTGATGTAAGGAGTTCTTCTACTGTTACGGTGTGGGCAGGATGGGATTCCGGATGTGAAATAAATGTATTGGAGAGGTGAATGGCGAACTCCTCAGCTTTATCTTCGTCAGTTGCTGCCCAGAAGCCATCACCTCGTCGGAGGGGATGGGAAATGCGGTGAGGATTTAGGATTTTTGTTGTGGTAGGGCTTGACATTTATCGGTTGAAGTCTTACCTCTAAGTAGTTGGGAGAATGATACATCATTGTTTACAATTCTGGAAGGCTCTCTCTCTCTCTCTTCTTGTTCTTAGTGCTTCATCTTGAATCCGGTTTTTCTGGTGTCTGGTTTTGAGATTCTTGTAAATTTGGCAGCCTTTGTAGTTGGCCGAGTGTCCCTCCAAGCATAGGGCACATACTGCTTGATGTTGTATAGGTTTGGTGCACTCTACAGATTTGTGCTGTTCACCGCACTTCACGCAACGCGGCAGATGGTGGCAATATGTCTTCGTGTGGCCATAGGTCTGACAATTATGGCACTGCACGATGTCTCTCTTGGGGTATGGCTTCTCAACTTTCACCGTTGTGTAGTATATTCTTGTGATATCATATATTTTTTCGATACCTGGTGATGGCTCCAAGTCCACGAAAAACAATGGTAGTGGGATCCTATTTCGTAATCCTGGCTGCTCCCAGTCCTCCTTCAAAACGTTTGTTACCTGGCGTACATTGAAACCAAGCGTTGTTAGTTCTTCTTTAATAACTTCAGTGGGGGTTGAGGAGTGTAAATTTCTTATCACTACTCGTAAAGGTCTTTCCTGCCTCAGCTGGTAAGTGTGAAAATTCGCATTTGTTTCTGATAAGTACTTCACTATTTTTCGGTAGGCTTCTGCAGAATCAGGTGTTATTTTGGTGTCATTGGTCCTGTTAAGGCATGAATAACTGCCAGAGCAGATTTTATTTAGTTGGATGCAGAACATCTGGAATTTTTTTATATTTTTCACAAATATC